AAAAAAAGGAGGAGGATTGGCAATAGATGTTAACTCAGGGCCAGTCTTCCTCAGCAAAAAGAGGAGGATTGGCGTGGATGTTAGCTCAGGGCTGATCTTCCTCACAAAAAAAAAAAAAGTTTTGCTTTTATATATATTGTCTAAGGCAACACTGTCCAATAGAAATATAATGCAAGCCACTTATGTAATTCAAAAATTTTAGTAGCTGTGTTAAAAAAGTAAAAGGAGAACAGTTGAATGAATTTTAATAATGATAAATTTTATTTAACCCAATATATCAGAATATTATTTTAACATGTAATCAATATAAAATTTGCTAATGAGATATTTTCATTCATTCTTTTGTACCACATCTTCTAAATCTGGTACGTATTTTTTCATTGGTAATACTTGATATATACTTAGATTTAATAAAATTTTCAGTTTTTAAAGTACATGCCCAAGTTTTTCCAAACGTAATTAAAAGTTCTAATAACTGAATTGAGTAATAGTTTTAAAATTTAAATTTATTAAGGTAATTAAAATTTAATAAAACTTAAAATTCAGTTTCTCAGTTGCACTAACTTCATTTTAAGTGTTCAGTAGCCACATGTGTCTAGTGGCTTACTTATTGGAAAGCATAGGTCTAAGGAGTTAATTCTCTGTGCAGTCCCCAAATTAGCTGATGTCAGTTGCCTGTGTTTCCAGAGCGTTATTGAAAATTTCAGGGAAAGTTTCGAGAAAGACCATGCAATTAGCTGATTCAGATTAGCTTGGCCTGGTGATAATTATAAAATGCATTTTGAGGATAGGAGACATCTCACTTAAATTATTGAAATTGTTAATTTTTTCTTATACACAAACATGGTTGTTTCCCCATCTTCTCTAAGCAACTGCCTTGACTACTAGTTTTCTAGTTTTTTGTTAATAGATCATTTAGACATCAACCTACAATCAAGGTACTTTTTAGTATTCTATTTGTTCTTTTGACTGCCATTTATGATTGAGAGGTATTGATTGAGAGTGTTCAAGTTCAAATTTTACCTAAAGATACCAAAACTACTATAAGAACCTCAGTTAAAATTTGATACTTGTATTTGGTCCCCCCTCGCTCGTATTTATGATGAAATCCACTAAATAGATTTAAAAAAAATTAAAATATGGGAAAGGAACTATATGAAAACTAGATTTGAGAGCTATCATAATGGCTAACGCTGATTTATTAAAAATTGTGCCTGTAAATCCAGTTAGACTATATGTGTGTTTGAAGAATTGCATTTAAAAATTTTGAATACCTAGGATTTAATGCTTAAATATTAAAAGTATAATAATTTAAAAAACCTTTGGAAAGAGAAAACTAAAAATTACCTAGTTCCTATTTTAATGTAAAAATGTCCTGTTAATTATTTTTTTTCAATTTAAGTTGATTTTTAAAAATTCTATCTTTTGTGAAAGTGTATCACATAATTTAAAATCTCTCCATATCCTTGAGATAATGTTCATTTGATTCTTTTCAGTCAGCCAATATTTATTTAGCATATAAGGGCATGAAAAGCATCAGATTTAATCAATGGGCCTTTATTTTTACTGGACGGATTGGAAAGACTAAGATAAATGAAATTGTGATAGAAAATAGTTAACTGTTAAAATAGTTAACAGGCAGTATGTTGGGAAAATTTAAATGTCTAATCTATTTTCTTACCGAGATGAAAGAATATCTTCTTTTCTGCCCGGAGTTACAGGGTCTCAGGGTCTCTTTATCCATGGGATCTCAACTTTTTCTCACTGAAGAGCTTTACCTTTAAAAAAAACAACTTTAAAATTGAGAGTAGAGCCAAAATTTTAGGTTAATAATGTATTTAAAAGAATATTTCTTTGGGAAAAATGTACATGTGAGTATTAATTTAATGTGACTGTGTAGAACACAGAATTTTGCTGATGATGACAGCATAGCTGAAAATATACCCATAAATAACTGAGCTCATCATGTCTTTTTTTTTAAACACAAAGGATTCTATATTTTGTTTTTCTCTTATTTACATAAAATCTATGTTTTATTTCTTCAAAGAGTTGAGCAAGAAGAAAGTTATTTTTCTTTTAGTTTTTTTTCTTAGGATCAGAAATGGGTTAGACGATTTTATTGTAAGTCTTCCAGTGTATAAATTTGTACTAAACTGAAAGGAAAAGAAAATCCATGTTAATTAGCTAAAAAAATTATGGTAGATTTTTTTATTGGAAAATGCAAATGATGATTTAATTAAAATGTTGTTCTAGGTGGTTTGCTAATGATATTAAAATGTTTTTTAAATCATTTAACTGTATTCATATGACCTCATTTATTAGCTAAGTTGAAACAGCAATAAACTTAAAAGATTCTGTAGAAATAATATCTATGACGCTGATCGTTTTTAAGAATTCTGTTTCTTACTTTGTCATCTTATGTAACAGTAAGCTTAACTTCTATATATGTACTTGAAGTATCACCTATAAAAACCTATTGCTTCTTTACCTATTGACAGATATTTAAAAAGTAACATAACTTTACTTATACTTTTATCATGGAACTGTATATATAATTTTTATTTATTTATTTATTTTTTGTGAGGAAGATCAGCCCTGAGCTAACATCCATGCTAATCCTCCTCTTTTTGCTGAGGAAGACCGGCTCTGAGCTAACATCTATTGCCAATCCTCCTCCTTTTTCTCCCCAAAGCCCCAGTAGATAGTTGTATATCATAGTTGCACATCCTTCTAGTTGCTGTATGTGGGACACGGCCTCAGCATGGCCGGAGAGGCGGTGCGTCAGTGTGCGCCCAGGATCGGAACCCGGGCGCCAGTAGCAGAGCGTGCGCACTTAACCACTAAGCCACGGGGTCAGCCCTGTATATATAATTTAAAACATTGCTTTTGTACCTATCACATCCCTCAATCCCCAAAGATAATATAAAACAGATCTTCAAAAACCAGCAACAAAAATCTTATTTCTGCTAATGGATAAATTGGCTATTAGTTATTTTACCTAAAAAAGGAAATTTTCTTAATTCAGCGTTTATCTAAATGATTAGCCATTTATATCTGATAATTTTTCAGAAGAAATTAAAATTAGAGAATGTCTAGATTTTAATTGTGTATTATGGAAAATTATACCTGTAATCAAAATTCTTGAGCAAATTGCTGTGATGTCTTTCTCCTCTTCTAATCATTTTAGAAATTGCACTATACATTTTTTCTCAGGGCTTACTCATAATATTGCTGGTAAACGCTTGTTGTTGTAGTGTATTTTTTTTGCCAACCGTTTTTTGCCAACTGCCTGAAAATATTTTAGGTACATTTGCTTAGAGTAGTCAAATATAAATGATCTTTAAGAAAGAAACTGCCCTGAATTGGTGTGTTTAAAAAAAAAAAAAAAAAAAAAACCATGAGATTTGGAGTTTGAGCTCTCTAAACACGATTCTTCATCTGGCTCAGTGGGATAAAATGATATTTGTCTTACCTGTTGTAATTGGGGTT